CGGGTTGTTCAGTGTTGTTTGGCTTCTCGCCAGTTCCCGATGGGCCTCTGAGGCATCCAGATGGTCCCGAAGTCGCCGAAGAGCGGTCAAAGGTGCCCCACAAGCGCCCCCAGAGGGTTCCAAGAGGCGAACTGTCGGGCTGAAGAGGGGCAGCGCAAATTCACGCCGCTCCCTTTTGGCCCCAAAGGGGGCCTGAAAGGTTTCTGGGAGGGCCCAAGGGAGGGCCCAAAGAGACCCTTGAGGGCATCAAGCAGGGAGCCGAAAGAGTTCCAGGAGGGGCCCAAAATGCCTCCAAGAGGCTCCACGAGGTCTCCAAGTTCACCCGTGTCGGCCATTTTGTTGCACTGTATGCTTGTGTATGCCCCTTCTCCCGACAGCTCGCATGGACATCCTGGATGGGCTGCTGGGTAGACGCAAAGAGTCAAGAATACGGCGGACCCCCAGCGCGCGAGCAGAGCGGGAGAGAGGGCCCCCTTGTCCTGATCCTCCTACTCCTCCTGCTCCTGCTTCTCCTCCTCCTCCTTCTCCTCCTCATCCTCCTCCTCAACCGCCTCCTCCTCCTAATCTTCGTCATCATCATCAGCAGCATCATCATCATCGTCATCATCATCACCACCATCATCATCTGCACCATGATCAGCATCATCATCATCAGCATCATCATCCACAAACGCTTTGTACTTTTTTCGTAACAGGCGATCCTGAACCTTGGGAAGATTTGTCATAAAGGCAACCCAGGCTTACGAAAATTGCAGAGAAGACTTACAAGGACAGACCAGACTTATCATAACTATTCGATGTCTTCTTAGTATTACACGTCGTTAATTTCAAATTGTGTTCAGTTCTAAGTGTGCTCGTTTCTATGTGTTCCTGGCCCCCGAGTGCCCAGAAAGAGGCCTAGGACAGAACAGTTAGAAATGAAAGGATATTGGCCCCCAAAAAATCCGGAACTTTCATAGAATTATCCGGGCGAAAGACCCAACCATAAGCAATTGTTCGTAACGCGTTGTGGGTGCCACTTTCGGTGGGGCTCCCTGTGGGGCCACGAAACGCTGCCTTGGGTGGGGGAACCGCATGCGAACTGCGCCACTGGGGCGGGCCTTCGGTGGAGCTCCCTATGGGGCCACGAAACGCTGCCCTGGGCAGGGGAACCGCATGCGAACTGCGCCACTGGGGCCTTCGGTGGAGCTCCCTATGGGGCCACGAAACGCTGCCCAGGGTGGGGGGAAACGCATGCGAGAGCAGCCACTGGGGCCTTCGGTGGAGCTCCCTATGGCCCACGAAACGCTGCCCAAGGTGGGGGAAACGCATGCGAGAGCAGCCACTGGGGCCTTCGGTGGAGCTCCCTATGGGGCCACGAAACGCTGCCCAGGGTGGGGGAAACGCATGCGAGAGCACCCACTGGGGCCTTCGGTGGGGCTCCCTATGGTGCCACGAAACGCTGCCCAGGGTGGGGGAAACGCATGCGAGAGCAGCCACTGGGGGCGTCGGTGCAGCTCCCTGTGGGACCACGAAACGCTGCCCAGGGCGGGGGCAACGCATGCGAGAGCAGCCACCCGGGCCTTCGGTGGAGCTCCCTATGGGGCTACGAAACGCTGCCCAGGGAGGGGGAAACGCATGCGAGAGCAGCCACTGGGGCCTTCGGTGGAGCTCCCTATGGGGCCACGAAACGCTGCCCAGGGTGGGGGGAGAAACGCATGCGAGAGCAACCACTGGAGCCTTCGGTGGAGCTCCCTATGGGGCCACGAAACGCTGCCCAGGGTGGGGGAAACGCATGCGAGAGCACCCACTGGGGCCTTCGGTGGAGCCTCCTATGGGGCCACGAAACGCTGCCCAGGGTGGGGGAAACGCATGCGAGAGCAACCACTGGGGCCTTCGGTGGAGCTCCCTATGGGGCCACGAAACGCTGCCCAGGGTGGGGGAAACGCATGCGAGAGCAACCACTGGGGCCTTCGGTGGAGCTCCCTATGGGGCCACGAAACGCTGCCCAGGGTGGGGAAACGCATGCGAGAGCAACCACTGGGGCCTTCGGTGGAGCTCCCTATGGGGCCACGAAACGCTGCCCAGGGTGGGGGAAACGCATGCGAGAGCAACCACTGGGGCCTTCGGTGGAGCTCCCTATGGGGCCACGAAACGCTGCCCAGGGTGGGGGAAACGCATGCGAGAGCAACCACTGGGGCCTTCGGTGGAGCTCCCTATGGGGCTACGAAACGCTGCCCAGGGTGGGGGAAACGCATGCGAGAGCAACCACTGGGGCCTTCGGTGGAGCTCCCTATGGGGCTACGAAACGCTGCCCAGGGTGGGGGAAACTCATGCGAGAGCAGCCACTGGGGCCTTCGGTGGAGCTCCCTATGGGGCCACGAAACGCTGCCCAGGGTGGGGGAAACGCATGCGAGAGCAGCCACTGGCCTTCGGTGGAGCTCCCTATGGAGCCACGAAACGTGTGAGAGGTGTGCCGAGAGAAGGAGGCAAGGATGGTGAAGGAGGGGGGGGGGGGGATGAGAATAAGAGGAGAAGGCTGGGCGCTAGGACCCAACACCACAGGACGGTTGGGAATTAGCCTGGCGAAGGACCCAACCATATGCAATTGTGAATGCCGCAATTGTGCTGGGTGGTGGCGGACGCATGCGGGCGGTGCCACTGGGATCTTCGGTGGGGCTCCCTATGGGGCCACGAAGCGCTGTACTGGGTGGGTGAGACGCGGTCAGCAAGGGCTGTGCTGCGTGGTGGCGGACGCATGTGAGCGGTGCCACTGGAACCTTCGGTGGAGCTCCCTATGGGGCCACGAAACGCTGTACTGGGTGGGTGAAACGCAGGCAGGGAGCAAGGGCTGCGCAGTGTGGTGGCGGACGCATGCGGGCGGTGCCGCTGGGACCTTTGGTGGAGCTCCCTTATAGGGCTACGAAGCGCTGTTCTGGGTGGGTGAAGCGCAGGGAACAAGGGCTGTGCTGGGCGGTGGCGGACGCAAGCGGGCAGTGCCACTGGGACCTTTGGTGGAGCCCCCCTATGGGGCCACGAAGCGTGCGAGGAGTGTGCCAGAATGGAGTGTGGAACCGCATCCCAGCGCAACCACTGGGGCCTTCGGTGGAGCTCCCTATGGAGCCACGAAGCGTGTGAGGGGTGTGCCGAAATGGGGGGTGGAACCGCATGCGAGCGCAGCCACTGCTGCGTTCGGTGGGGCTCCCTATGGGGCCACGAGACGTGCGAAGGGCGTGCCGAAAAAAGGAAGTGGAACCGCATGCGGGCGCAGCCACTGGCGCCTTCGGTGGAGCTCTCTATGGTGCCACGAACCGTGTGAGGGGTGGGCCAAAATGGGTGGAAGGGGGGGGGGGAACCACGTGCGAGCGCAGCCACTGGGGCGTTCGGTGGAGCTCTCTATGGAGCCACCCACGAAGCGTGCGAGGGGTGCGCCGAAATGGTGGGTGGAACCGCATGCAAGCGCAGCCACTGGAGCGTTCGGTGGAGCTCCCTATGTGGCCACGAAGCGTGTGAGGGGTGTGCTAGAATGGAGGGGTGGAACCGCATGCGGGCGCAGCCACTGGGGCCTTCGTGGAAAAGAAATGGGTAAATCTAACTAAGATAGGGGAAACAAGAAAAGAATGAAGAACAGAAAAAAAAAGGGAAAAACATCTAAAAAAAAGAGGGGGGGCAAAAAAGGAAAACAAGAAATGAGAAAAAGGAAAAAATAGAGAGAGAAAAAAGAAAGGAAAGACGGAAAAAAAAAAAGGAAGGGAAAAAACAATGCATAAGGAAGGAAAAAAAAGAAAGCTCCCTATGGGGCCACGAAACGTGTGAGGGGTGTGCCAGAATGGGGGGGTGGAACCGCATGCGGGCGCAGCCACTGGGGCCTTCGGTGGAGCTCCCTATGGGGCCACGAAACGTGTGAGGGGTGTGCCAGAATGGGGGTGGAACCGCATGCGGGCGCAGCCACTGGGGCCTTCGGTGGAGCTCCCTATGGGGCCACGAAACTTGTGAGGGGTGTGCCAGAATGGGGGGTGGAACCGCATGCGGGCGCAGCCACTGGGGCCTTCGGTGGAGCTCCCTATGGGGCCACGAAACGTGTGAGGGGTGTGCCAGAATGGGGGTGGAACCGCATGCGGGCGCAGCCACTGGGGCCTTCGGTGGAGCTCCCTATGGGGCCACGAAACGTGTGAGGGGTGTGCCAGAATGGGTGTGGGAGGGGGAGGAGGGGGGAGGAGGAGGAAGGAGGCGGGAACGCGGGGCACCGTCTCTTCAAAACGAGGACCCAACACCACAGGATGGTTGGGAACAATGTGTAATAGTATGCGTATTCTTCTGATTGATGCTGAGCATGATCTGTGTGTTCCCTCCTCCTCGTCCTCGTATACGTCCTCCTCCCGTCCCCCCCCCCTTACTTATCAACAAGCTCCTCCTGTTTCTGGTCCTCCTTTTACTGATCGTGTTCCTTCTCCTTTTCCTCATCCTCCTCCTTCTCCTCCTCCACACCGTGCAAAAAATGTTATGCCAACGTGCTACCACCTCGGCCCCCGCTGCACTTGCAAACCACTTCCGTGTACCGCCTCGGGTCCGACGCTCGGCTGGGCAAAAAGCACGCCCAAGACACCCCCCCAAGGAAGCCTGGAGAGACCGGCCATGACGTGGCTGAGGGCCACATGATGGAACACAGACTACCCGTCGGCCGGAAGAAGTGTCACAGCAAGCGCGCACATGCTCCGCCCGCAAAATCATTATGTTGCATCCTCGGGGGACCTCGTCTGTCCCTTCGTGGCCCTATCCGCGTCGAATCCGTGTCGAATCCATGTCTGCCTCCTCGGATACGTGTCGAATCCGTGTCGAATCCGCGTCGAACCCGCGCCAGATCCGCGTCGAGTCCGCATCGAACCCACGTCGGGCGGCAGGCGTTCACGTGCTCTGCCCGCAAATCGCACGCGCGCCGCCCCGGCTTGCACTCCGGGCGGCCAGAAGCGGCGCCCCGCGCGCGAGACGGTCCCAGGCGGAGGGCGCGCTGGGGGGCGGGCGGCGCCCGGAGCGACGAGCCCGTGGCCCGCTGGAGGGCGGGCTGCGAGAGCTGCACGTGGCCCTCTGTGGGAACTCGGGGGGGGAGAGGAGGAGGAGGAGGAGGAGGAGGAGGAGGAGGAGGAGGAGGAGGAGGAGGAGGAGGAGGAAGAGGAGGAGGAGGAGGGAAGGAGGAGACGACGACGACGACGACGAGAGGGAGGAGGGAGGAGGAGGGAGGAGGAAGGGGAGAGCAGGAGCAGGGGGAGGAGGAGAGGAGGAGGAGGAGGAGGAGAGGAGGAGGAGGAGGAGGAGGGAGGGAGGAGGAAGAGGAGGAGGAGGAGGAGGAGGAGGAGCGCGCAACGTCAAAAAGGAGGAGGAGGAGGACCTACCCATCCTCCCTTCTCCCCCGTCCTACCTGTGGTAGTCCTCCTCCCTTCTCCCCCGTCCTACCCGTGGCAGCGTTGATGGAAAACTGGAGGGGGGGGGGGGGGGGGCGCGGCCCTCCGAGGGCGGGGGCCCCGGGCCGCGTGGAGCCGGGAGCAGGGCGGGGCGCGGGCGAGAGCCAAGATCGGGTCGGGCGAAAGGGGGGGATAGCAAAGGGGGGGGGGTGAGAAGCTTGATGGAAAAGGGGGGATAGCAAAGGGGGGGATAGCAAAGGGGGGGATAGCAAATGGGGGGGATAGCACGAATGGAAAACAGCGCGCCCTCCATCTGTGAAGCTGCTGCAAGATTTTACCGCGAATGCGCGCGGGGCTAGGGCGACAACCACAGTTTGAAAATCACCCGCCCCCCACCCGCGAAAGTGTTGCAAATTGCAGGCGTCAGGGTCGGAAATGGTGCGGAGGTCTGTGGCGAAACGCCTGGCCCGCCCTACCAGCACATCTGGGGACGCGGTTGGGAGGCAATCTGCAGTTCGAGGAGGGATGGGGGATGGGGGGCGGGGAAGGAGAGCGGGGTCTGGACAGTCCTTTCTCTATCTCCTCTCCCGCCCTTCCTGTCCTCACCCAATTTCCATCCTCGTCCTCCTCCTCCTCCTCCTCCTCCTCCTCCTCCTCCTCCTCCTCCTCTCCTTCCCTCCTCCTCCTCCCCTCCTCCTCCTCCTCCTCCTCCTCCCTCCTCTCCTCCTCCTCCTCCTCCTCCTCCTCCTCCTCCTCCTCCTCCTCCTCCTCCTCCTCCTCTCCTCCTCCTCCTCCTCCCGGGCAGCGCCCCTCTGCAGTGGTGCCACACAAGGCGGCTTTGGAATCGACCAGGAGGCGGCTTTGGGAGGAGGGGGAGGAGGAGGAGGAGGAGGAGGAGGAAGGAGGAGAGGAGGAGGAGGAAGAGGAGGAGGAGGAGGAGGAGGAGGAGAGGAGGAGGCCAAGAAGGGGGGAGGAGGAGGAGGAGGAGGAGAGGAGGAGGAGGAGGAGGAGGAGGAGGAGGAGGAGGAGGAGGAGGACGAGGAGCAGGAGGAGGAAAGATGTGGTGGGTGGCAACTGGTGCCTGTAATGGCAGGTGGTGGCACGAATGCCTTGAGATGGAGGTACGGGTCCCCCCCCCCTTACGGCCGTCTTCGTTGGCCGAGGGGCCTTAGGGGGGTCTTCGGCCCCCTCCGGCGCCTATTGACGGCAAAATGGAAGGTTGACTAGTGGGAGCGGGAACCCTCGCAACCCCATTGATGGAAGCTGCGAGGGGTGTGAGGCCTAATGACGGTCCTCACCGACGAGGCCTAATGACGGTCCTCGCCGAGGGGAGGGGCGAGAGGGAGGGGGGCCACTCCGAGTGTCGATGCCGCCCGCGATGCCTCTCACTCCTGAGGCGGGATTCCTGCAAATGGGGGCCCACAAACAAGCATACACAGCTTCGACTCCGAGACTGCGTATACGCCACACCCCCCGGAACCTCCAGGACTAATTTTTCACTACATCGACGGACCAGTTTCCTGTCGGTCCCCCGGCGTTGCGTTTCAGCATCCGTTGGTGGCAAGCCCAGAGGAGCCCGACGCAACGAAATTGTCACGAAATTCGGCTCCCGAATAAGCCGCAACCACAATGCACGAAAGGACCGGTACACCGAAAATCATGTCCCCGGCAGCCTCTCCGGGGACATCAATCGGCGCCCTAGGCAGAATCGGGTTGTGTTTCATCCAACCACCAACTCGATCGATCGGCGTACCCTCCTGAATTCCCGATGCAACGGGAAAGGCCTGAGCGGGCAGCGGCAAACAACACCTAGGGAGGAGGGAGGCGCAAGGAGGAGGAGGGGGAGGAGATGAACGCGCTGCGGGGTGGGGGCGGGGTGGGGGCCCAGGAAAGCGGGGGGGGGGGCGGGCAAGGGGCCAGAGCGGGGACGGGGAAGAGAGGGGCGGGGGGACAGAGACTGAAGTCAAACGTAGATTTGTGGCCCCAAGGGATCCTGGAGGTAAGTCTTCTCGATTGGTTGGCGGGGAGCGGGCACGACCGCATGAGTGCCACTACAACACGGGTCGAACCATCACCCTAGGTGGGCGGGGAGAGGGACACGACCGCACGAGTGCCACTACAGCACGGGTCGAACCGTCACCCTTGGTGCACTGCTGGGGTGGCCCAAGTGCCAACATGTAAAGGCTGACTGACATTGACAGGCACAATCAGCCGGCAGGGGAATAAATCCCGCTCACGGCCCAAAGGAGGATAGATGTGGTGGGTGGCAATTGGTGCCTGGATAGGCAGGTGGTCACCCCCCCCTACGGCCGTCTTCGTTGGCCGAGGGGGCCGTAGGGGGGTCCTCGGCCCCCTCCGGTGCCTATTGACGGCAAAATGGAAGGTTGACTGGTGGGAGCGGGAACCCTCGCAAACCCATTGATGGAAGCTGCGAGGGGTGTGAGGCCGAATGACGGTCCTCACCGACGAGGCCTAATGACGGTCCTCGCCGAGGGGAGGGGCGAGAGGGAGGGGGCCACTCCGAGTGTCGATGCCGCCCGCGATGCTTCTCACTCCTGAGGCGGGATTCCTGCAAATGGGGGCCCACAAACAAGCACACACAGCTTCGACTCCGAGAATGCGTATACGCCACACCCCCCGGAACCTCCAGGACTAATTTTTCACTACATCGACGGACCAGTTTCCTGTCGGTCCCCCGGCGTTGCGTTTCAGCATCCGTTGGTGGCAAACCCAGAGGAGCCCGACGCAACGAAATTGTCACGAAATTCGGCTCCCGAATAAGCCGCAACCAAAATGCACGGAAGGACCGGTACACCGAAAATCATGTCCCCGGCAGCCTCTCTGGGGACATCAATCGGCGCCCTAGGCAGAATCGGGTTGTGTTTCATCCAACCACCAACTCGATCGATCGGCGTACCCCCCTGAATTCCCGATGCAACGGGAAAGGCCTGAGCGGGCAACGGCAGACAACACCTAGGGAGGAGGGAGGCGCAAGGAGGAGGAGGGGGAGGAGATGAACGCGCTGCGGGGTGGGGGCGGGGTGGGGGCCCAGGAAAGCGGGGGGGGGGGAAGGGGGCGGGCAAGGGGCCAGAGCGGGGACGGGGAAGAGGGGGGCGGGGGGACAGAGACTGAAGTCAAACGTAGATTTGTGGCTCCAAGGGATCCTGGAGGTAAGTCTTCTCGATTGGTTGGCGGGGAGCGGGCACGACCGCACGATTGCCACTACAGCACGGGTCGAACCATCACCCCAGGTGGGCGGGGCGAGGGACACGACCGCACGAGTGCCACTACAGCACGGGTCGAACCGTCACCCTTGGTGCACTGCTGGGGTGGCCCAAGTGCCAAAATGTAAAGGCTGACTGGCATTGACAGGCACAATCAGCCGGCAGGGGAATAAATCCCGTTCACGGCCCAAAGGAGGATAGATGTGGTGGGTGGCAATTGGTGCCTGGAATGGCAGGTGGTGGCGCGAATGCCTTGACATGGAGGTACGGGTCACCCCCCCCTACGGCCGTCTTCGTTGGCCGAGGGGCCGTAGGGGGGTCCTCGGCCCCCTCCGGTGCCTATTGACGGCAAAATGGAAGGTTGACTGGTGGGAGCGGGAACCCTCGCAACCCCATTGATGGAAGCTGCGAGGGGTGTGAGGCCTAATGACGGTCCTCACCGACGAAGCCTAATGACGGTCCTCGCCGAGGGGAGGGGCGAGAGGGAGGGGGGCCACTCCGAGTGTCGATGCCGCCCGCGATGCCTCTCACTCCTGAGGCGGGATTCCTGCAAATGGGGGCCCACAAACCAGCATACACAGCTTCGACTCCGAGACTGTGTATACGCCACACACCCCGGAACCTCCAGGACTAATTTTTCACTACGTCGACGGACCAGTTTCCTGTCGGTCCCCCGGCGTTGCGTTTCAGCATCCGTTGGTGGCAAACCCAGAGGAGCCCGACGCAACGAAATTGTCACGAAATTCTGCTCCCGAATAAGCCGCAACCAAAATGCACGGAAGGACCGGTACACCGAAAATCATGTCCCCGGCAGCCTCTCCGGGGACATCAACCACCAACTCGATCGATCGGCGTACCCCGTTGAATTCCCGATGCAACGGGAAAGGCCTGAGCGGGCAGCGGCAGACAACACCTAGGGAGGAGGGAGGCGCAAGGAGGAGGAGGGGGAGGAGATGAACGCGCTGCGGGGTGGGGGCGGGGGAGGAGGAGGAGGAGGGAGGAGGAGGAGGAGGAGGAGGGAGGAGGAGGAGGAGGAGAGGAGGAGGAGGAGGAGCGAGAGGAGGAGGCGAGAGAGGAGGGGAGGAGGAGGAGGATGGAGGAGGAGGAGGAGGAGGAGGAGGAGGAGGAGGAGGAGGGGGAGGGGGAGGAGGAGGAGGAGGAGGAGGAGGAGGAGGAGGAGGAGGAGGAGGAGACCCAAAAGCCGGGCGTCGCGATTCTGCTCACAACGCGGTTCCCAAGAGTTCTGGAGCCACTTCCCCAGGACAGGCGCTTCTGAGTCGTGACAGTGACGGCCCCAGCGCCCAGCGATGCCGAAAACTAACAAGAACCTTCCGTCGTGATTTTTCGCAACGAGCGAGACCATGTCAAGGGAGAAACGCGGATCTGTACGATCGACATGGGTACGGAAAGAATGCGCACGAAGACTGACAGCAGGTTCCTGCCCACTTTGAGCAAGGTTCGCTGTCCGTGATGCCGCGGGCGTTGTCCATTTGAGACACAAGGCCGCCTACCAAACAGCGGCCGCTGATGGATTTAGACAACATCTGATGCTGTGCATCGTACCCATTTTGTCCACCGAGTTAGAGCACCTCGAAAACAGTGGGAAATGCGCTGCCCGACGCAATTCGTCTGGCTGGGGGCAGCACAGCGGGCAACAAGATGCAGTGAGTGACGCCCCCACATGGCAGCACGAGGTGCGCCATGTTCGCTTTCATTGTTGATATGCCGATATCAGAAGGCAGAATCTCCACCCCCATCAGAATCACCCCGACACGCAGAGCCGTTTAGCCAACGCACCCAAAAGGCTCTTGGTAAACGCCCAGGGCCGTGTAGCAAACGCCAATCAAATTTCGGCGGTGGACAAAGCTCCCTTTAGTAAACCTCCCCTTAGTGAAAACGGCCCGGGACCGAAACCGACGGACCCGGACCCGCGAAAACGACGGCCGCGACGCCCTCTCGCGAACCGAAAACGGCCAATTCCCTTACTCGACGTGTCAGGCCAGGAGGTCTATCCCCCTCCGAGTGGTTCTGCCTCCCTTGAGATACCCAGACATCCGACGTCTCGATTTTTTCGAGACACGGGCCTCCGACCTCCCGACCACTTCCCTGGGACCGGCTTTTCCTCCCGAGCCGTTTTTTGGCGGCCCCGAGGCCCGGCGAGGGTCCCGAGAGGCCAAAAACTGCGAAAAACCTCCGTCTCGGTTTTTTAGAGACGCCCTATACGTCTGGGTAGGCACGCCCAGGGGCTGCCACAGCCTGCGGCACGAGCGAGCGAGCCGGCCGGGCGTCCACAGCGGGCCACCGCATGCGGCATGCCTCGGGCGCTCCCCGGCGGGCGCCCGCCCCCGGGCTCGCCCACTGCACGCGGCGCGCCGGGCGTCCCCGACGGGCGGCTCGCCCCCCGAAGCGCCCGCACAGTCGGGTGGCGTCGAGGAGTCCGGCCGCATCCAGGTCACCGTCATCGGATGTTGGGATTTGGGCGCCTCGCTGGGTTCGAAGATGAAGAAGAAAGAAGAAGAAGAAGAAGAAGAAGAAGAAGAAGAAGAAGAAACAGAAGAAGAAGAGGACGAAGAAGAAGAAGAAACAAAAAACAAGAAGAAGAAGAAGAAGGAGAAGGAGAAGGAGACGACGAAGACGAGGAAGAAGCAGGCAACGAAGAAGAAGAAGAGGAGGAAGAGGAAGAAAAAGACGACGAAGGCGAATACGAAGAAGAAGAGGGGCCAACAAAAAAATAGCACGAGCAGAACCTTCCAGAGGTCCCAGCGCAGATTCTCCCGAATCGGCGCTGGGCGCCCCCCCCCCTCGGGGGCGAGGCGGGGCGAGGCGAGCGCCGCAGACGTCCCGGAGGGCGGCCGCGCGAGGGGCGAGGCTCTCGGACACCAGCCACAGCTGGGGGAGCGGTGGCCCTTAGCCCCCATGGGGGAACCCATCGCCTCAACGATCTCTCGAGAGTCCCCCAGGGAGGAGGAGGAGGAGGAGGAGGAGGAGGAGGAGGAGGAGGAGGAGGCGGAGGAGGAGGAGGAGGAGGAGGGAGGAGGAGGAGGAGGAGGAGGAGGAGGAGGAGGAGGAGGAAATCGAGGGGTCCCCCAGGGGGGTAAGGACCACAGCTCCCCCAGCTGTGGCCGGCCTGGCTCCACATCTGGGAGGTCTCCGTCGGGAAGAAGGAGGAGGATTGAGCCCCCTTGGGGGGGCTATTACGCCGGATCAGGCCGCGGATTAAGCGGGAGTAAACCAAATTCAACGGGATTGAGCGGGATTAAGCGGGAATAAGCCGGATCAAGCTGGATGTCGGACCAGGGCAAAGTCAGAATCTAACCTCCCAGGAGTTGCATCCGAACTTCTCTGCCGGAGGCTCAACAATTAGATGGCAGAAAATCCACCCCGTTAAGAACCACCCCGACACGCGAAGCCGTTTAGTAAACGCACCCAAAGAAGGAATCAAACAGGGCAGGGCTGTTTGATAAATGCCCAAGGCCGCTTAGGAAGCGCCAATTGTCCGGTCCGGATGGTTCTTCCTCCCGTGAACAATACCTCATGACATTCTACTCCAAGGGAATACGCAAGTTGACTCTGGGAACGTAGAGAATGATTTGAAGAGCGGTCCCTTGAAATCGTTTTCTCCAAGGTCGCTCTTCTTACATTCGTGTTCGGGCTGGACTATTACACAATGTCTATTCACCTCCAAGGTGGTACGCTTCGACATGGACGGAGAACGAACTGAGATTGTTTTTGGGAGCGTGTTGATCGGATGCTGGAGCTTCTTATCAATCGCATTGAAATCTGGCAACGAGACCCAGAACTGAAAAGCCTCAATCCCCTCGATGCGCACGCCGGAGTTGAAACCGCGAGGGCGCGGAAGTCGTCCGACAACTTCTGGGGCGTATGGTGTTCTTCGCGGTTGCCGTCTTCAAGATGCTCTCCAACTTGCCCGTGAGCTGCTGAGCTGCAATCTCTATCGATGTGAGACGCACGTCTGTCCTGCTCATGTCACGCGTGACTGCCGCCTGACGTCTTTCATCCCGGGTGGGCCCTGCGCTCGGCACCGACACTCTTGCTCGTTGGCTGTGCCAGCTGTGCCGAAGCTGTGTGCTTAGGCTGTGCCTTGACCTTGAGCTCGAATGGCTAGACCTTGAGCCAAAATGGCGACGGGACGGCGCCGAAGGCGCTAGGGGACCTCCGAATCATTGTGCTTATGCACTTTGTTGTCCGTCGAATGTCATTGGATGCGAGTCCACCTGTCCACCAGAAAAAAAAGCATCGCCCTAACTAGCCAAGCTGGCAGCAGTTTGCTGCAATGTTCTGTCCCTGGGACCGGGAAAGCCTCCAGGAGAAGAAGGAAAGCGAAGGGGAGGCAGGCGGGAGACAGAGGCCTTGGAGGAGAGGCGAGGAGGACGACAAAGAGGAGCCACGTCACGGCGAGGAGCCACCAGGAAGACGGGGGGCAGGGAGCGGCGGGACGGACAGTGGGACGGGGCCTCGCGCAGGCACTCTTGCGCGGGCGCTTCATCACGCTGGCCGCTGCTCAGGGACGACAGCATGTCCTCAGAGGGGCCCTCGCGGTCCTCCTCCTGTCCCTGCCCTTGTTGCGTATAGATAAAGATGCCATTTAGCCAGCCGATAGCGGCAGGATCTGAGATCTTCCGCTTTACCCAGCATGTACGCCTACGTCTACACACAGAGCATGAAGCCATCTCTATCTTTGTATGTATATTCATACAAGACTGCATTGGCGCTTCGCGCTATGCACCTTGGTCCTGAAAGTTCGGCGTGCAGGCGGAATGGCAGGAAGATCAAACAAACAATTTAACAATAACTCCTTATTGCCTTTTCCGGCATCGCCATTAGAATAATGTAATCCGCTATCCTTCCTCCACGTCTACTTTTCCTCATTCTCGCCCTACCCTGCGAATTCTTCCCCATCCTCCTCAGCTCTTTTTGCGGAGGCTCCTCCTTGGAGAGCCTCGGGGGGGCTCACGGAAGTTTCAGGCGTTATTAAGGCCTTCTGGAAACCTCCTGGGCGTCTTCTGGGGGACTCCGGTGGCTTCTTCGGGCCACCCTGCCTCCAACCGCGGTCTCCCATAACGACCAGGTCGTGATTTGGAATGCTTCGGAGGGTGTCTTGGGGCCATCTTGGGCCGTCATGGGGCTCTCTTAGGCCATCTTGGAACCCTGTTGTGCCGTCTTGGGGCTCTCTTGGACTGACTGGAAGCACTTTCGGATGGTTTTGGGGCGATTTTCGAGACTCACAGGCGGTCTCGGACGCTCAAAGACCGAAGAGCAGGGCATTCCCAAAATCATGCAAACACCTTGGAAAATCAATGTTTTGTTCCCCATATCCTAAGATGGGGTTCTTGTTATTACTTGGACGCCTCCTACTTCTTCTCCTCATCCTGCTCCTCCTCCTCCTCCTCCTCCTCCTCCTCCTCCTCTCCTCCTCTACTCAGACTTGCTCATACCCAGACTTGCTCATACAACTCAGACTTTATCATACTCAGACCTACTCATACTCCGACTTACTCATACCCAGACGTACACATACACAGACTTACTCATACACAGGCTGATTCATACTCAGACTTACTCATACCCAGACTTACTCATACACAGACTTACTCATACTCAGACCCACACATACTCAGACCTTCTCATAGTCTGAGTTACTCAACGCACGGCAGATTGTGAGGATGTCTCAGGCGGGGCGCTGGTTTCAGCACCCCTAAGGGGAGCCGCCAGGGGGTATATCACGGGCCCGTTCGCGGCCAGTTTGTGGGGATATCTCAGGCGGTTTGCTCGTTTTCATGCTCAACATCCTTGGTTTTCATAGCAGATTGTGAGGATGTCTCAGGCGGGGCGCTGGTTTCAGCACTCCTAAGGGGAGCCGCCAGGGTGTATATCACGGGCCCCTTCGCGGCCAGTTTGTGGGGATGTCTCAGGCGGTTTGCTCGTTGTCATGCTCAACACCCTTGGCTTTCATAGCAGAGTGTGAGGATGTCTCAGGCGGGGCGCTGGTTTCAGCACCCCCAAGGGGAGCCGCCAGGGGGGTATATCACGGGCCCGTTCGCGGCCAGTTTGTGGGGATGTCTCAGGCGGTTTGCTCGTTTTCATGCTCTACATCCTTGGCTTTCATAGCAGAGTGTGAGGATGTCTCAGGCGGGGCGCTGGTTTCAGCACCCCTAAGGGGAGCCGCCAGGGGGTATATCACGGGCCCGCTCGCGGCCAGTTTGTGGGGATGTCTCAGGCGGTTTCCTCGTTTTCATGCTCAACACCCTTGGCTTTCATAGCAGAGTGTGAGGATGTCTCAGGCGGGGCGCTGGTTTCAGCACCCCTAAGGGGAGCCGCCAGGGAGTATATCACGGGCCCGTTCGCGGCTAGTTTGTGGGGATGTCTCAGGCGGTTTGCTCGTTTTCATGCTCAACATCCATGGTTTTCATAGCAGATTGTGAGGATGTCTCAGGCGGGGCGCTGGTTTCAGCACCCCTAAGGGGAGCCGCCAGGGGGTATATCACGGGCCCGTTCGCGGCCAGTTTGTGGGGATGTCTCAGGCGGTTTGCTCGTTTTCATGCCCAACACCCTTGGCTTTCATAGCAGATTCTGAGGATGGAGGAAAGGGGGAGGAGGTAGAGGAGGAGGAGGAGGAGGAGGAGGAGGAGGAGGAGGAGGAGGAGGAGTAGAGGAAGAGGAGGAGGAGGAGGAGGAGGAGGAGGAGGAGGAGTAAGAATAAGAGGTTGAGGTGGAGGAGATCTTCGTCGGGCCTGTCGCCAACGTGGACGGGCTATTATAGTCAAACGCTCATGAACAGACGCTCACTACGGCATAAGATAAAACATGAGAGGCACATATGGGGAGCTCCACGAAGTGAGTAATCTACGTTTGGGAAGCTCCCTGGGAATATCATTTGGGTCGTCGTCGGGCGTCTGGTGGGTGTCTGGGGCCTCTTGAGGCCCTCGGGGGGGCGTTCGGCCGCCCTCCTGACCGATCTAGGCCTGTTGCCAAAGCCCAGCAAGGGCTTCCAGGAGCTCTGAAACGCCTGGGGGGGCCTCCTGCAGGGGTGTACAGGTCCCCAGGGCCACAGATCCGGGGGGTCCAGAGGGCCCTTGGGGCCCAGGATTCGGGGGGTCCGATTTCGGGGGTGGTCCCGGGTAATAAAATATATGAATGGTTCTGTGTATAATGTATATAAGTGGCTATACATATGAAAACATATTGATGTGCGAAGAATGTTTTAGCTATATGGTGAGCCTTCTCAACGAAGACGTTCTGCTGTCGACTTTCAGACATGCGCGGCAGGCATGGAATGCGTCGCACAGGGAGAGGCGGGAAGGCTTCTTAGCAGAGGGGGTCTGCTCCTTAGAATCTGAAGGCGCTGGCCCTACACCTACAGACGAGGCCCTCGCCTTCTGAGAAGCAGGGTGCTTCTAAGAAGCCTTTTCCCCCCCCCCCCAGCCCCCTCTGCGAGTGGCCGAGTCCTTCTTTTGAGCAGGGACCCACCGCGCTGGCATTCCTGTAGGCCGACCACGAAAATAGAATGTCTCACAACCCAAATAATGTTCTGAGACCCAACAGGGCTCTCAGAACAGGATCCCGACGTCTTGAAACAAGACGGCCTCGGCCAGAAAAGCTCTCCCCGCCAGGAGGAGGAGGAGGAGGAGAAGGAGGAGGAGGAGGAGCTGGAGGAGGAGGAGGAGGAGGAGGAGCTGGAGGAGGAGGGGCTGGAGGCAGAGGAGCTGGAGGAGGAGGAGCTGGAGGAGGAGGAGCTGGAGGAGGAGGAGGAGGAGGAGGAGGAGGAGGAGAAGGAGGAGAAAGAGGAGGAGGTTTTCCCGCGAGCACAGCGTGGGCGAGCACCTCGCGTCCACCTGCGTCAGGCCTGGTTAGTCCTCCGCGCCGCCTGAGGCGGCGGAGGAAATTTGTGCCTCCACGCCACTTCCCGCGGCGGAGGCCCTGGCAGCATTCCCAATCGATTCCAGAAACTCCAATTCCTGGGTTCTGGTCAACGCGACCACCTCTCCAGGCAGTCGGTCATTCTTATAAGGATGCTTACCTGCCAGCAAACTATTACGCCGAGTCACGGCTTTGTGGTCCCTCGGGTCCTTAGGACCACCTGTAAGTAACCCACAAGCCCTGGCGCTCAAACAGGCGCCGCACTCTCGACAAGAGGTGTGGTGGCCAATTCGAGACAGCATGTGTCGCCTCGGCCCCTCCAAAGGAGCCCCGTCGACACTCGCTATCTTCTTCCACTTGGCGTGCGAGGAGAAACCCTCCCTGCAAAACTTACGCGACAGCACCAGCTTGGCCTTGTAGCAATGGGCCCGTCTGGCACACCATGCACACCTCCAGGACCCCCTGTCCACCTCCAGGACGTGCCGAGACTCGGGAGGAGGCAAAACCGAACGGCGCGACCGAGGGCCAGGGGGCTGGGAGGCGCTCTGGTGACGGCCTGCTGTGTCATCAATTGTGCCTATCTTACAGGTCATATCTCCGACAAACCCGAAGACAGCACAAACCTCCTTAATTCTGGCCACCCGCGTGTCTCTGATATGCGGCGGGATGGCGTCTAGCTTGGCGCCGTCCTTCGCTTGAAGGTCGGCGCTTTGATTCACTAGGTACTTGCACAGCTCGAGTCCCTCGAGCTGTTGGGCATGGATCTTCTTGGAATGCGCTTCGACTTTGACGACGACGAGGACACCCTCCCCAACGAACGAATCTTCAATCGCATTCCAAATTCTATGCCATAAATCGGCATGCGGTCGTCTGGCTGGGCACAAGACTGGGCCTCGCATGAGGCCACGAACGGTAGAATTGTCGATCCCCACCTGTAGAGGGGCAGCGACATGCCGAAGAACATTCAGGAAACCGTGCAATTCTGCTCTAAGCACAATTTGTGCCTGCCTACCTCCTGAAACCGTGCCATGCATTGCTTTGCGTATATTTCCATGCTGGTCGACAAAACAGAGGCCCCCTCCGAATCGCCATTCTTTTGACCGTGCGGCTGCCTGGTGCCGTTCGATGGTCTGAGCATTGGCTTCTGCGCAACGCTGGAGACCCATGATCTCTGGGGGGTGCTCCATGAGCGCTGGGCCCCCGAGACAAAGGGCGCGGTATCGTTCAAACTGGGCGATTACGTGCTCAGCCTCCTCCCCCAGGTCCAGAACCAGCCGACTCCTTCCTCCTCCGATGCGGCGCTCGAGCTTTGCTCGTCGCGCACGTGCATGCATCCAGGTGCCCTCCTGCTGGGCAGCTTGTGCGCGGAAATTACTGGCTCGTGCGGCTATCCACCGCCATGCTTCAGCACAGTGTGAGACCTGCTTCCAGAGTTGATCAAACTGGGTGCCCTTTAAATCGTGCTGATGATCGAGGTCTGGCCACTGTGCAGGCTGCGGGACTGGCCCGCACTGCCCCTCGATTGGGAAAGGTCTAGGCTTGGCAGGCCTCCAGCCGCCTTTTGCTCGGATCCTGAACTGCTTGACTAGACGGATTGGCGAATGAGGCGCGGCTGCAGAGTCTAAAACTTCTACCGTGTCACCGACCGCATGCTGGCGGGCGTCGAGCACAACGAAATCGATGATACTGCCACCGCCGACTCCTGCACACGTGGTAGTGGAGGGGAGACGCACCACTCCTCCCACATCTTGACACCACCACGTCTTGAGCCGAGACTCCCCCATCTCGTTGAAATCTGCTTGGTATATCCACGGTATGTCATACTGCTTGATGACCGTAGCGATGGCCTCCATTGACAAATTTTGAATCGTCCAACTTTCACATGTCCACAAATATGCCGCGGTAATCATGAGGCCACCATTCTGTCCAGCATAGCACCAGCCCACTGCCACGCGCCCAGCTGAGCCAGAAGGTGAGATATCCAACGTATTCATGCCTTCGGGGGTAAGAACAACCATCCTTGGCACGCGAAATCCAACCCCACTAGACGGTGGTCCGCCTGGGCCGCTGACGGCTGGAACCAATGCTGCTGCATGCCTGTTGAAGGTGGCCGCCTCCATGTCCTTGGCGATGGACGCAACCATCTTATGCACCTGAAGGAACGTGATGTGCATGGGGCCCACGATCTTCCTTGTGGCGACCTCGTCCAGCACATCGATAGCCTGCGCCCAAGAAGAACAGTTGAAGCCTATGAACTCGAGCCCCACATTGCGGGTGCCGCCGTTGCCTCGACGACGCGGGGGGCTCATCTTATGTGAACTTGACCATGTAGAGATAGACGTACTGGATGTTGCGTCAGGAGGAGACCCTCTGCCGTGATCTGACTCCTGCGACGTGCTAGACTCCTGCCATGAGCCCGACCATGTAGAGCATTGAGCACTGATACCTGTGGCCGTGGAGGCCGAGCTGCCGAGCCCGCGCGGGCTACAGCGGCACTGGCTTGGCCACTGCCTCCGCCCTGCGAGCCCTGGCGCGCTGCAAGGCCTCCGCCAGCTCCTTGCCAGCGGCTTCACCACCAGCGTCAGGGCCAGCATCAGCGCTGGCAGCACCTGGCGAAGCGCCCTGGGCACCCTGCACCTCCGCGGCGGGCTGGGCGGCCTGCTGGGCCTCCTGGGTGGGCTGGGCTGGCGCCTGCGGCGGGCCTCCCTCGGGGCTCTGGGCCGCTGGCGCCTCCGCAGCCGCCGCCTCCGCAGGAGGGTCCTCGCGCATGGCCTGGGCAGGCGCCTGCGACGGGCTCCCTTCTGGGGTCTGGGGCGCGGGCGCCTCTGCAGCCGCCGCCGCCGCAGGGGGGGCCTCACGCCTGCGCTTCTTGAAGGTCTCGCGGAGCACCCTGATCTCTTCAAACTGCTCACGCTGGGACTTGAGGACGTCGGCCCCTGGCCCGAAGTGCGTGCGGACCGCCTGCTGCACCGACGCCTCGAAGGTCTGCTTGAGCTTGTTGAACTGCTCCCGCTGCTCGGCCGTGATGTCCAACCCCTCAAGGTCGAAGAGGGGGCCGTCCTCGATGACGAAGCTGGCCTCGCCTTCGCCCAGCAGGGCAGAGAGGTTGATGACCCCGCCGCCCTTGTTGGTCCCCTCGGGCTGGAAGTCCTTGCCTGGAGCTGCCAGAGCCTTCTTCTCCTGAGCCAGCTTGACCTCCGCACCCACCAGGGCGTCAGCTGCGGCATCGGAGCGGGCCTGGCACTCGTCGAGCCAGAGCTTGGCGTCGGCCAGCTGCTTGGCTCGCTTTTCCAGCTCCCGACGTGCAGCCCTCTCCGCCGCGGCCGCCCGCTGGATGCCCTCCTCCAGGAGCGCGGGACGCTCTGCAGGTGCCGGCGGGGCAAAGGCGCTCTCGAGCTGCTGGAGCGCCTGCCGCTGGGCCTCGGAGAGGGCCTGCCCACCAAGGGTCTGCACCACCTCGCTGATCGCGAGCGGCTCGGTCCTCTGCGTGGTCTCCTCGGCTTCGTGGTACCAGTCGGCCTCACCCTTGTGGTTGTCCTGCCACCAGCCTCTGCTGCCGCTAGCCCAGACGCCACGGGGCTTTGGGGCGGGAGAGTACGATGGTCGCAGGGCCTGTCCACAGCTGTAGCACGACTGCTTGGTCTTGTAAGTCCAACGGTATCCACATTTCTTACATCCCACGTAGTCGGCCGAGAAGGATATCCTTGGAGCTGGGGACTTGCCGCCTCCACGCCTGCGATCCGACATGGCGGCGGGATTGACTGGGACTCTGGACGGCAGCGCGCAGCTCCCCGTACAGGTCTCGAGAGAAGATGTCGGGCTGAACAGCCCTGGCACTGCCGCGGACTAGCGGTATCCACTTGTTCCCCTGAGGAACTCATCATCTTGAGCCAAAATGGCTACGGGAAAGAGGAGGAGGAGGAGGACGAGGAGGAGGAGAAGGAGGAGGAGGAGGAGGAGCAGGAGGTGGAGGAGGAGAAAGAGGAGGAGGACGAGGAGGAGGAGGAGGAGGAGCAGGAGGTGGAGGAGGATAAAGAGGAGGAGGAGGAGGAGAAGCTGGAGGAGGGAGGAGGAGGAGGAGGATGAGGAGGAGGCCTCGTCGGCGGCGAGAGGCGAGCACACCGAGGGCCCGCCGTCCTCGGCCCGCTCGTGCACGAACAGGGCGAGCACCCGCGGGAGCTCCTCGGGCGGGGCGAGCGGCCTCAGCACGGCCGCCCACCTTGGGGGGGGGTGGGGGGGGGGGGGGCAACAAGGGGGCAGGGAGGCAGGGCCGCCTCCTCCTCCTCCTCCTCCTCCTCCTCCTCCTCCTCCTCCTCCTCCTCCTCCTCCTCCTCCTCCTCTCTCCTCCTCCTCTTCCTCCGCTCCTCTCCTCTCCCCTCCATCTCCATCACCTCCTGCTCCTCCTCCTCCTCCTCCTCCTCCTCCTCCTCCTCCTCCTCCTCCCCTCCTCCTCCTCCTCCGCCTCCTCCTCCTCCTCCTCCTCCTCCTCCTCCTCCTCCTCCTCCTCCTCCTCCTCCCTCCTCCTCCTCCTCCTCCTCCTCCCTCCCTCCTCCTCCTCCTCCTCCTCATCCTCCTCCTCCTCCTCCTCCTCCTCCTCCTCCTCCTCCTCCTCCTCCTCCTCCTCCTCCTCCTCGTCCTCCTCGTCTGGAGCAGGAGGAGGAGGAGGAGGAGGGAGGGAGGGAGGGAGGGAGGGAGGGAGGAAGGAAGGGGAAGCTCGGACGTTCTAGTCGCCCCCTGCAGGTGTTCCTGCCTCGGGGTGCTTCTCCTGGCAGCTGCGCCTCGCCGAGAGCGGTCGGTGCCCAGATCGTCTCGAACGGTCGCCGGAGACCCGAGTTATGACCCGAAAACCACAAGGTGCCAAGGGGTCGCGGGAGGGGCGAGGAGGAGGAGGAGATAGGACGAGGGACGAGGAGGGGAGGGAAGGAGGGAGGGAGGGAGGGAAGGAGAACTTCCTGTGGGACCCTGTAGGCTCCGCAATCAGCGTAAAAGAGCCCCTTGCCACAACAGACCTGGAGGGCGCGAGGCCCTTGCAGAAGAGCCCCTTGCCAGTCGGCGAAGCGAATTGAACGCCAGAGTCGTGCACGCTCTGCTAGGGATCCAGCTCGTGCCCATCAGGGTATGGCGTGATGGCCGGAGCCTCAAAAATGTGGTGCATGCGCGGACTCACGTCACGACCACTATTCGGACAAGTCGTTGATGCTGAGGGGGAGGGTGAGAAGAAGCAGCACCAGCCGCGGGAGGCAAGTCGGAAGGCTGGCACGCCCGAGAGAAGTAGGCGAAAGATGGGTGCGATGCCCAGGAGCAGACGTTGTCCGAAACCGGCAGCGGCCGCTGTGGGGCGGGCAACCTTAGGCCTCAGACGGACAGCGCCCGCGGCCACACCGACGGCGAGCCCTGCTCAAAATGGACTGGAACTGTCGTCGGTCTTCGCCCCCACGGAGGAGGAGGAGGCGGAGGAGGAGGAGGAGGAGGAGGAGGAGGAGGAGAGCGAGAGGAGGAGGAGGCGGAGGAGGAGGAGGAGGAGGAGGAGGACACAAATCCGTGTGGTGGCGGACCCCGCGGTGGCCTCGGCCATCCCCAGCGGCCTCACCGCGCGGCCCCGGCACCGCGCCACACGGCCCTGGGACCCCCCGCGGAGGCCCCAGTTGCCCGAGGCGCCCTGCGAGGACGACCCGAGCTCCAGATCCGGGCGGCGACCCAGGAGGAGGCGGAGGAGGGTGGAGGCGGAAGAGCAGGAGGAGGAGGAGGAGGAGGAGGAGGAGGAGGAGGAGGAAGAGCAGGAGGAGGAGGAGGAGGAGGACGAGGCGGAGGAGCAGGAGGAGGAGGAGGAGGAGCAGGGGAGGAGGAGGAGGACACGCCGCCCCGGGGGCCCCCGAGCGATGCGGCCTCCTTCCCTCGCCGGCCGGAGCCGCAGGTGGTCGTGTGCGTGCGTGTGTGTCTGCGCCCACACCCACCGTTCTGGACGTCCCCACCCCCACCAGGGAAGCCTTAGGGCCCGCTGGGCAATGTACCCCCCCAGT